GCTGACATTTTAAAAATAGACCATATATTAAATATGATGGACTTAGGGGGGGGGGATTGCCCCCCTTAATTCTACTTTCGAGAAAGAATTTGATTTTGAACAGCTGTTGTTGTTATTTCTGTTCTGCTTGATGACGTTTATTCAAGGTGACTTGATTTTGAATGCACTGTCTATATATAGAATATCTGAGGAAAATTTCTGTCTTTCTTTGAATTCCATTTTAAAAAATGTTCTATAAAAATAGCTCAACATTTCTACGGGGACGTTTATCGTTTTGAAACTGGCAGGTTATCATGTGACTCCTCCTTTCCATACTGAGAAAAAAAAGTTGTGTAATATGAACAGTAAGTACGGTGATCTATGTCAACCGCACTTTTTGGTTCAAGTAATTGTGCCTTTGGTACTAGGAATCGTGCCTTCGGTTCATTTAACTGAGCTTTTTGCATGTAGTTCCTTCCGATTTGAAAGCTCTGTTGCATGTACCAGTGATGTTTTATGATCGAAAGCACGCTCACATGACGAAACATGCATGCGGCCGATATATGTAGAACACCGTACTCACGGTTTATACCACCGAACTTTTTTTCTCAGTGGATAGAGCCAAAACTTGTTAAAACAATGCTAAAATAGCAGTTTTCTAAAAAAGAAGAAAAAAAAAAAAAAAAAAAAAAAAAAAAAAAAAAAAAAAAAAAAAAAAAAAAAAAAAAAAACAACTATTAAGCGTGCTTGCGTTGAAAAAACTATTAACGATTTCATAATGTCTTGTTAAACAAGCACAAAGCGATAAAAAACTCTGCATTAGTCAATTGTGATGTTACTAATTGTTGCGTGTAACATGCCTCTCATGTGGTGTTTGCTAACGTGCTAAGGAAGAACGCCGTATGGAAATTTGAGAGTTGCCAAATTTCACCGGCTAAAACATGTATTTTTAAGACATTTTTGTATATTTTTTCTTGAAATTTCAAGGTATATAACATCAAAAATCAAACAGAATCGTCATAAAAATTTGACAAAAATTATTTTCAATTTCCCAGTAATTTTTTTATTTTATTTAAGAGATATGGCAACCTCTAGAAGCTCATACGGCGTTCCTCCTTCGCAGGGTAGTATGCTTGTCGGCGGTGTTTGCTAATATTAAGAAATGCCATTCATCCGATCTGTGTTTACAGGTTAGAAATACACCTGTCCCGTTTATTCTTAGTCCATTCAGTCGCAATAATGTCGCGTGCTTGCCGGTGGATCGGTTCATCTGCCATTTAAACCCTCGGAAAAGAATCGACTACCAAGGTGTTCGCAATGAAGGAACCTTAATAATCGATTCTTTACCATGACTTCAAATGAGAGTAAACGATGATGAAGTTGACAGTGCTCGAATGCTCCAATAGAGATATCGCTCCGCGCAGGAGTGTGGCGTGAATTGCGATGTGTCGATTGTTATGTCATTTAGAAAAGGATCGATAAATAGGGTGTTCGCAGCGAACACCTTAATAATCGATTCTTTACCATAGGTTTGAATGGCATAACAATCGATACATCGCAATTCACGCCACGCCACTGGCTCCGCGGATGCATCAACTACGTGACATTCTGCTGTGCTAAGGTAAAACGTCGTATGAACCCTCGTCAGTTGCCAAATTTCTTTTGATCAAAAACGAATTTACAGGAAAACTTGTGAAAATTTTCCGTCCAATTTTTCAGAGAATTTTCTTTGTAATTAGATCTATATCATCTGCAAATTTGAGGATGAAATATTCATAACATTGTACGAAAATAGACATTTTATTGGAGGAAATCAGGCAACTTTCGAATGTTTATATGACATTTTTCCTTAGCATGCAGCATTGGGCTCTAAAAAGTTCTTTCCCCCTTGATCAAGAATATGAACTTTTTTTTTTTTAAAATTAATTTTCGCGTGTGTTTCTGCACTCATGTTAGCGGCAATGTCTTCCCTGCTGATTCGCATGTTGGGTGTTTGCATGTATGACGGCGCTTCACGCTGCCAACCTCCCAGTTACATAGTCTGTCATATTTGCACTTCACCGTGTGCATGTCACCAGCGAGCGGATCAGCTGTGTAAGTTCAGAATCACGTTCATTTTTCCGTAAAGTTTGAATGGATCAACTGTTCACGTCACAGAATCAGATACAATATTCGCACTGCTATATTCCCTACATTCCCCTGAAATTTACTTTCGGAAGTAAACGCCTCCAGATGAAATTACGTAGATTGGATGCAGTTCCCAGCGTATTTGCATATCGGCAATTATGTTTAGTAATTAAAATTCCAGTGTACTGCAGAGTAGAATGCTGCCGTGCTAAGAAAAAACGCCGCATGAACCTTAAGACGTTGCCAAATTTTCATGTATAAAACACGAATTTCCAGGTAAACTTATGAACATTTTTCTTCTCAATTTTTCAGATAATGTCGTTTGCAATTTCACCTAAAGTTCCTGAAAATTTCTAGGAAAAATATTCATAACTTTCCTCAGAAATAACCATTTTATTAAAGGAAATTTGGCAACTCTCGAATGTTCATACGGCGTTCTTCCTTAGATTGGCAGAATGGTTTTCTATATTTTAAATTAATTTCCCATTGCATGCTGGTTAAATAATATAGATCTTTAAACCGAAGAAATCATTGCAAGACTTTCGAATAGAATAAATGAGAAAACCCCAAATTATAATTTTACAATAAACTTCATTATTAACTTTGATGTATTTCAATATTAAAGTGTATAGCATCATGGCCCTGCGACATTTTGGCGCAAAAATATGAAAAAATTGAAGATACATCAGATATCGGCTTGTATACCAGCGTTTCATTACCTCTTCACAGTTCCATTCTCAGAATCCACCAACGGTTAATTATACTATTATCTTCCCGTAAATCGTAACCGGAGTTGCCACATCGCCTTCTGAGTTTTTGATCAAGTATGATAATTCAATTGATTTCACGTGAGTCTGTTGACTCATGCGGAAGACTCAAAGACGAAGTTCAACGACTAGTCTCATGTTTATTTCTTCATTTTTTTCAATTTTTAATTTTTAACTTCAGATCATTTATCACTAGTTGAATTCAAAACTACTCCTGACACATTTTTTTTTTCAAAATGCGACTGGATGCGTTTCTTTCACACATATATACAGCATAAAAACAGCTTTCTTAGCGCTCTTTGGAGCTTTGCGACACCTAGCCTCCAAAGTCCCCTATCCACTCAAAACCCCTCAAGGAGTTGACACTCTCTCATTTCCTTGAAAATTCCCTCCTATCGCCACCCTTTAACTGGACGATGGGCGTCTTCTTCGTCTCCTCCCAGGAGGAACCCAATCAAGAATCTTGTGCGACAGCTTTTCCTCCGTCATCCTGTAAACATGACCATACCAGACAAACTGTTCGGTCATGACATCGAACATACGATGTCATTTTTTCCTAATTTTCAGGGATTAAGGCCGAGTAGGGTCTGTTCCAGCAGATCTACTCCTCAGTTCCGAGAAAACTTGACACCACTACCGGGATCCGGACCTGGGACCTATTGACCTAGAGTCAGACGCGCTGACCACTGAGCCAACCTGGCTGGCATTATTGTAGGTCAAATACTAGTGGGTCAAAAATACTGTTAGTAAATATTTTTGTAGGTCAAATGTCTGTAGGTCAAAAGGCGCACGTCAGGTGGACGTATTTCCATCAGATGGAACTAAGCGCCATATAGGGAGGACGGGAGAGGGGGACTTGGATTGGCGGGTGTTGTGGAACGCGATGCTCGTTCCGTCCTATACTCGCAACGCTTTTCCATGGCGCTCATTTCCGTTTGACAGAACGCGCTATTCGGGATTATAAACTCCTCAAAAGGAACCCCAATGGACCACTAGACAAGGTACGAATTTCAGCATTCTGATACATGTTTCTTCACCAACATTTCACGTAAAAAACGATGCGCACAACGAAAACTACCGAAATCAAATCCTTCTGAAGATATTTAATGACTCTCGGTGCGTGAATTGAAACCACCCGCTCATGAAAACTCAATGCTCGACGTGATTCACATCGCGCGCTAAACGTTATCATGAACGTCTCAGCGATATAATAATCTGGCAACCTCATTCTTGACGCTTTGGCTCAGCCTTAGCAAATTGCTTATAGTTTGAGCAACACATGGTGGGAAATGAACATTGCTCGATTTAGAAGCTTGCTGAAACCATTGTAGTGCGCGATTTGACTCACGTAGAGCTTTGAGTTTCTTGTGAGCGGGCAGTTCAAATTCCTCGTAACCAATGTGAAATAAAAACGTTAATACTTTCGTTAGGAGTTGGTTCCAGTAATATTCATTGCGCAAATCGTGTTCTACGTGAAATTTTGGTTAAGAAACATGTATTAGAATGCTTAAATTCGTACACTGTCTAGTGGTCCATTGGCGCTAAGTTCCGTTTAACAGAAATACGTCCAAGTGTCCTGCAGGCAATTCAATATGCCTGTAGGTGAAACATTTTGACACTTGTAAGCCGGCAACGCGGCGCCCAAAACAAGAACCTCGATACCATTTCAATAACCACCAAACCATGACCGTGAGCGCGACCATGGCTGCAACCAATAGGCATGACCATGCTTCCCATGTCCCAGGATCCGGCGAAGATGATATTTCCCAGTCGGGAACCACCAGCACGCCCGAATCCTCGCGCCTTATCTCGTTCTGCGTCGGGGGCCACCGCTTGATAAGACGTTTTTCGGGGCCGACCCCCCCCCCCCCCTCTGGGTAATTGAGTTCGGGTTTTGATTATCATGCCCACGCGCTGCCGAAATTTTTAAAGGCGGGTGATTATTCTCACCTCTTTATTTCCCACGTCCCGGGCCGCGCGCACACACACACACGCGCGCGCTCGCGGCGGCTCGTGCGAGTCTATTGTTCCTAGGACTCGGATTCTATTTGAATATCCTTTTAAACGACGCTTTTTTCCCGCCGCGCGGGGCTCGTGTGTGAGTGCGGTGCGGGGATTCCGTACTTTGTCAACAAGTCGTTTTCAAATAGACGGCGCGTAAGTTCGGCCCGGATCGTGGTTTACTTTACTGTTCAGTGTCAATGTCACCGCTGTGAAGTGTGCTTTTTTTATTCGAGGAATACTCGTGCTTCAATGGCTGCGCATTTTTTTCGAAAAAGAGTCTGATTTTGAAAAATTTGTCGTCTGTAGGTACGTATAATCTGGTGTAACTTTGCATATCGCATATATTGGTTTACCATCTGGATTACATTTTGCAATAAGGGCTGACTATCTCTGGCCCATTCTATAGGAACAACATACAAGTTATTGGTTTTCCTGTGGAGATATGTGCGTTTTTTTCGAAGAAGAGTCTAATTTTGAAAAATTGTCGTCTGTAGGCACGTATATTCTGGTGTAAGTTTGCATATCGCAGCTATTAGTTTACCATCTGGGTTACATTTTGCAATAAGGGACGACTATTTCTGTCACCGGTGTGAAAGTGTACTTTTTTTATTCGAGGAATACTCGTGCTTTTATGGCTGTGCATTTTTTTTTCGAAAAAGAGTAGTTTTGAAAAATTTATCGTCTGTAGGTACGTATATTCTGGTGTAACTTTGCATATCGCAGCTATTAGTTACCACCTGGGTTACATTTTGCAATAAGGGACGACTATTTCCGTCACCGGTGTGGAGTGTACTTTTTTTATTCCAGGAATACTCGTGCTTTTATGGCTGTGCATTTTTTCGAAAAAGAGTAATTTTGAGAAATTTATCGTCTGTAGGTATTTATATTCTAGTGTAACTTTGCATATCGCATCTATTAGTTTACTATCTGAATTACTTTTTGCAATAAGAGACGACTATTTCTGACCCGTTCTATATAAACAACATACGTGTCATTGATTTCACTGTGGAGATATGTGCTTTAATGGGAGAGTCAACGATAGGGGTTCCTTATTGCAAAATGTTATCCATCCATGGCATGATATCACGTATTCAAAACAGCTCATTTTTTGGGTTTTGAAAGTTTAATATTTTTCCTGTGGCTCAATTTTGCAAATTTTTCTCAAAATTTTCTTCTTGGAAAAAATAATTATCAAAATTTTGAAATTTTAAGAAAAAAAATTGTAAGACTCTTTGTTCTTACAAAAGCAGTAGGATTGAATACTCAAAATTAATTTATTCTAAAGAGGATGAAGTAGCAATAATGAACTAATAACACTTGAAAAAACGTCACTGCTAAAAAAAACTTCTTGGTTCAAGAGTGCAGTTTCTTGTCGCCCGATTTAAGAGTCTGGACTCTTGTTTCAATGCAAAATCCGCTTGAATCAATGCAAAATCCGCTTGATTCAATGCAAAATCCGCTTGAAACAAGAGTTCAAGACTTTTAAATCCGGTGACAAGAAACTGCACTCTTAAGTCAATGCACCGCGGCATTGGTCCAAGAGGTTTTTTTTACCAGTGTATACCTCTTAAAAAGAATTTTTAAATTCTCTTCTCCTAAAATATTCCTCTAAAATTTAAAATATGTGTCGGAATGTATAAGCATTTGCTATTTTTTATGCTTTAAAAATGTAACGCATCTAAGCTTATAATAATATGTTATTAGTTCAATTACCGTATTATGATTTAATCTCAAACAGCAAAAACATTCAGCGTGCGCTGTCAAAAATAAATTATGCAGCCATGCACCCGCGGAGAAGGAAGAAACATTGCTCACAATATGCCCATGGAAGATTCCAAGCCCAATCTACGTTCGTAGTTGTAATTACACTATTTAAAATCTTGCAGTAGAATCCAGAGTGCAGTCTACTCCGGAGCCAATTCGGCCCAATAAGTTGGTGATTTGATGAGAGGTCGTTTTTACAGTGCATCTTTTTAGAACGCCTTGCCTTTTTAACTCTTACATCGATAGTTCAATGTCGAAAAGCATCTCATTGAAATCTGGGAAGAATCAGTTCAAATGCATTTTGGAGGTTTCTATATTGAAAATTCAATGAGTAGAAACAATTTTGCTTTGCTAAGGAAGAGCGTCGTATGAACAGTCGGATGTTGCCAAAATCCTTTGGATTAAATTCGAAAAAACCTAGAAAGTTGATATTTAACCTCTGGAAGTTCATTTATACGCGAATACTCTTACGTTGTCTTTTCCTCGCACGAAAACAATTGTGGGCAAAGAAGGTGATCTTATCAACTCTTTTCAGGAGACAATATAGATTTATTTCATTCAACATACACGTATTATGCCGTGATCAGTGACGATTTTATGAGGGTACAAGTACCAATAGGAATGTTTTATGAGTCATAAATTTTAAGCACTGCCAGATATTTTCTGCAACTAGGAAAAATAAATGGCACGTTTATGATCACCTACCCACTCAAAATGATGCTAGTAAGAGCCTGAGACGAGGAGTACTGTTAAACTTGCTGTTGGTCCCGTGGTCCCCAAGAAAAACCAGCGCTATTTTGAAATGTGTAATATTGTTTGTTTTGTGAAAAACGGAAGTGGCATTTCCAAAACTCACACACTCACGAAGCAGGTTTATGAATTTTGACAGTGGCAAAGAAATAGAGCAACTATCGCGTATAATTAAGTGATTATCAACCTAAAACAAACTGCCTAATTACCTGCGGTAATGAGTGATGTGTGTGAGGTCAAAAATATCGTTTTGGGTGTTTCAATATCTACCGTGCAACATGCTTTAATGTTGATGCCGGATCCGCATTATCATAGGTTTAAATGGCAGATTAATCGATATATCGCAAAGCACGCCACGCCACTGATTTTGGGCTATCTACCGGAGCAATTTTCGCGTTTTTTTAGTTAAATAAAAAGTTCGAGCGTCTATATTCCCGCAAAAATACGGTCATCCTTGCAGAGGTGGATCTAGCGATTTGCAACGCCGAATTCCCTCCATTTAAACCTATGTTAAATAATCGATTCTTGTAGGAACACCTGGCCCCTCCAAGAATCGAAACATATCCATGGGTTCAAATTGAGAAAAGCAGTGTTGCCAATATGCTGGATCCACTAATGCATCCTTGGGTAAGTCAGTCTCGGAGTGAATGATTGGAGAAGGAAAACGGAATGACTGGAAATGGATTCATGAAAAAAGGTCAAAGTTCACAATTCGAGTGGAATACTTTCGGAAATGGAAATTTTATGTAGATAACTTTTTTTGCGTAGGAGCGTTCAACTGTTTTCAAAAAGAGAGGTTATGCGCAACATCACCATCTGCTGGTACACAATTATCGATGCAGAAGTAAGCAGAATTAGGCCAAATTTTGCACATTTGCACGCAAAGAGGCATTGCCATTCAGGACTTATAAACCCAATTGGACTGGTTAAAGGAAAATAATTAGAAATTTAAGGTGCATCGGTCGGTCTATATCAGTACAATCTAACGGCAGCCCTGGAAAGTTGCGTCTACAAAGCGCAATGCCAGGCTAAACAAGGCCCAGTAAGTTTCCTCAAAAATTGAAGAAAGCAAACTTAAAAAGTTGACAACTTTTACGAATCGCTCAGAATATACAAGAGTTTCGATCAGAGCCACTGTCAACCACTTGGTTCTCTAAAATTATGACAAATTTTAGAGAGTTTATTGAATTTTGGTGACGGTATAAGACCGACTATACTAGTCGATAATATTTGGGGGAGGGGGAGGTTGGCTATGTTTTATGAATAAATGTTTAGTCAACATAATCCATAATGCTAAAATTCTGCTAAAATTCTTTTAAAAAAATGAGTATTTTAAAACAATGCATCGGGCTTGAGCAGGGGCGTACTTTAACTGGAGAAATTTCTATGAGGAAAAAAAAAAAAAAAAACTTTTTTATCCGAGAAGTAAAACTTATTTTGACTCGAAAACCACTCTTATTCTTGGAAGTGGTACAAACTTGAGAGACCCTGTATTTTTATTAACAATATCTAAAAAAAAGTCTTTCATATCTGACCTCATAAGGCTGTATATCCATTTAATCCTCTGTTTCAGGGTTTAAACTCTAACTGCAAGTGGTTGCATTTGCCTTCCAGATTAGCCCTAACCTTTGAGCCGTACTTCCTCCGACGGATAAGTGCCAAAATCACCAATCTAGTCGAAAACCTCGATAATCTTTCGTGATGGTCTCAAATATCTGGACCGCTTTGATATGTGTAGTGTTTGTAGTGACAAGAGCGGCCGCCACCTACAATCAAAAACGCCCGCACATTATATACATTTTAGCCGATGATTTGGTAAGTGTTACGCAAAAAGATAAGCACAAACGGACTGGAATAAATGAAACAGAAACCAGGTCACGTTTTTGGGATAAATTGAGTTGGAATAGTTGCTGAGCGAAACCAGCTGCACTTTTTTTGCCTGTCAAGAAGGAAAATTACATTTTTTTAAAAAAAAAAAATCAATTTGAAAGCAGATGTTAAGGATGAACTCTCATCTGTAGCATTAAAATTATTTTAATTCTTACGAGCGCTCTCTTACACATATGGTTTATTGTAGAGAGACACGTTTCGGAGTAATTGCAACTCTCATCAGCCGTTCTCAAACCGCCGCACAGTGGATCGAGTCTATTATGGAGATCGGACATGAAATTTTTGACTAAAATTGCCAATTTTGGTGTTTGATTCATCTTATTTTAAATTAAAAGGGGTGCTTTTAGAAGAAAATTTTACAAGGAAACCAATGGAACCCCTTTTAAAATACCGAAGTTTTGCATGAACAGAGTTAAAAGCTTTTGAAGTTTCCAAATTTTGTCCGACTTCTCTTATTGACTCGATCCACTGTGCGGCGATGATGGTTTGCGAGCGGCTGATGATGGAGGTGCTATTACTCTGAAACGCGTTCCTAAATAATGAACCTATGTGCAAGGAAGCACGCATAGGAATTTTATTCGGTTTAGAAATTGACTTGCACAGTCCCAGTATACATTTTTCGGTAAGTCTCATCTACGGAAAAAAAGGGGTTGGGGTTCAGTCCCAACTGTTGGATTCTATGGAAAATTCCAATGAATTATGGTAGTGCCCCAATAAATTAGGTTACTAACCAGAGTGTTGCGGTACAAACAGAACTAATTGGAAATGTCCATATCATCCAACAATTATTTGGGGTAGTGTTACAATTTTAGGAGATCACTCCCAACCCTTTTCCCCCGTGTCTTCAACATTTAGTATTATGAAGAACTGAAACGTCAACCCTGCTTTAGCGCAGTTTGCACTTGATTTGACTTGGTTCCTTTCTGTAAACTCTCTTCAAATGACCAATTTGTGAAAGTTGAGTTATTCGCATCTGAACCATTTTTAAACTCGTGTAATTGGATTTTGTTGATTTATGGGAAGGATTCCATTTTTCAGTATGTGCAAAATCATACTGTCATAGCTGTTCGGTGAAAGTGTCCTACTACTCTTTTACCGCACTTTCTAAAAGTCTCAATTTCTTATTCTCAAACTTTGATAAACTTAATTTTGATTTTGAGCTAGATTTTTGGGACTATTCGTCGCATAGCTGACAAAACGGCGTAAATACACGTAAAGATAAGCACGGGAAAGTATCGAATTCCACATTTGCACCAGTAGCGAGGCGTGAATGATCGATTTTCGATACAAAGCCACGGTAAAGAATCGATTATTGCATGAGGTGTTCATTGCGGATACCATGTATATCGATCCTTTTCCATAAGTTTAAATAGCATATCGATCGATATATCGCAAAGCACGTTACGCCAATTGCGCACTGATTTGGACGCCAGGCCTCTTCGCGGAAGGTGGTTAAGTCCTAATGTCAAAAGGGTGACGATTTTTTACGCCAAACTATAGGAAAATCAACTCCTTTTCGAGTACTTTAGCTTTCTCATGTTTTATCTTTCTATTAGCGTGCGCTTTCTCTTTCCTCCGCGATCCTGTCACGAATGAATGGTAGCATGGATAAACGAGTTAAGCGTATTTTTGAAGATATTTGCACCAGTGGCGAGACGTGAATGATCGATAATCGATATTTCCCAATTCGAAGCTATGGTAAAGAATCGATTATTAAGGTGTTCGTTGCGGACACCCTGTTTTTCAATCCTATACCATAGGTTCAAATGGCAGATCAATCGATTTATCGCAAAGCACGCACGCACGCTACGCCACTGATTAACTTTGAGTGAACAAATTGTCTTATGGGTGTCATTTAAAGAATGAATACGAGTATACTGTAGTGTTCATTTTTACGCCCTGTCATTTAAACCCTCAGTTCATTTGCATCATAAGCTCACACGTAATTTGTCTACTCACAACGTTTTTCTTCTTCTTCTTCTTCTTCTGCTGCTGCTGCTTCTTCTTCTTCGGCCTCCTTCTCCTCCTCCTCCTCCTATATCAATTTGGCTCAAGTCCTGTCTATCCAGCCATCAATTCCGATAGAAAATATTTTATTATGTACCCTGACGGACACTCTTTGAGTAATATTGCATTTTTCATAAAACCACAAACTTATTCATTTTTCTTCAGTTCGGTATGTTAGAATGTAGCCAAGTTTTACATTTTTTTTGAAAACTTACATTTTATTGATAAAATTTGACCGAAACTTTTCGAAGCCCTTCATCGTCAGGTCTTTCAGGTTTCAGGTTTTGGTTAATTGTTATCAATAGTTACTACTGTCTGAAATAAAGTTACCTTTGGCCATTGTAGTTAATACTTCGTGACCCTGACGATGAAGCGCTTGCTTCGAAAAGCTTTGGTCAAATTATACACCGAAAAGAAAGTGAAGTTGATTTAACATTCTGGATGTCAAAAAAGTGTGCGAGAACTCAAAAAACGCTAAATTTCCCGCCACGGCAGTTATTTTTACATCTTGAGTTTGCTAAAAATTACTGCTCTGGAAGTTAATTCACCATTTTGTAGGTTCTCGCACACTTTTTTTACAACTAGAATGTTGAATCAACTTAACTTTTTTTTTCAGTGTATTAATATAATGTAAGTTTTCCAAAAAAATGTTACATTATTTCTAGCACTTGGCTACATTCACTGTACCGATATTTTTCAGTGTGCTACCTTTTGAACATTGTCTTCATAATACAATGTTTGCTGAACTTGGTTTCTCTAATTATTTTTCAAATACTGAGTATCCTTTAGAGGCTTTCCTGTCAGCATAAGGAAAGTCCGTAAACGCAATAACGCTTCATTCACCGTTAGCGTTGGAAAATCCGAAATCTATAACTCACGATTGATTTCAATCGCGTGGAAATTGATGCTTTTGACATCCGAACGAGTTAAATTTAGCGGAGGCAGTAACTTCCCTATTTAATTTTCACCGGTTAAATGAACGAGAGTCAATATTTAGCTGCCGAAATCTGTCGGATTTTTTCGCATGGCCACGTTTTTACAGCATGCAGAGAGG